CCCCACCCCCGCCCTCCCCGCCCGCCCGCGGCCGCCGGTCCCGGGGCGGAGCGGCAGGGCAGCCGAGGGCGCCGCCGGGGCCGCGGGCCCGGGGCGGGGCGGAGCGGCAGGGCAGCCGAGGGCGCCGCCGGGGCCGCGGGCCCGGGGCGGGGCGGAGCGGCAGGGCAGCCCAGGGCGCCGCCGGGGCCGCGGCCGCCGGTCCCGGGGCGGAGCGGCAGGGCAGCCCAGGGCGCCGCCGGGGCCCTGAGGACCGGACGGCCGAGACCAGCGGGGCTCGGCGGAGCTCGGTGGCTCGGGACGGGGTCGAAGAGGTCGGCGCAGGGCCCGGGGCGGTTACCGAAGCTGCGCTCTGAACGGATGCGGCCCCCGGCGCGGGCCGTGGCCTCCAGCACCCGTAAGTCGCGGACGGCGGGGTGGCGGCAGAGCCGCTGCGCCGCGCCCAGGCCCGCGATGCCGCCTCCCACCACCAGCACCCGCCGGCGGCCCGCAGCCTCCGCGCCGCCGCCACCCGGGACCTCCATGCCGCCCCACGTCAAGGTGCGCTCCCGGCGTGCGGCGCGGCCCGGCGCGGCGAGGCCCGCAGGAGCCGCGGGCAGGGCGGGGCCTTTGGCAGCGGAGGGGCCTAGAGAGTTCCGGGGGAGGGGCCTGATGCAGGGGAGGGGCCTAGAGAGTTCCGGGGGCGGAGCCTGATGCAGGGGCGGGGCCTAGAGAGGCCGGGGCGGGGCCGGCGGGGCCGGGCGAGAGTTCAGGGGCGGGGGCTAAAGTGGGCGGGGCGGGGCCAGCAGGTGAGGCTGGCTTGGGAGCGTGGCAAAGGCCGTGGTCCCAGGCACTGGGCGAAACCCGCAGGGCAGTAGGTGGGCGCAGGGCCCGGCGGGGCGAGAGCCCGGAGCCGAGCCGAGCCAGGCGGGCCCACCCAGCGGGGTCCGGGCGTTCTGTCCGCTAGCTCGCCGCCTCGACCTCACACGGGCGGGGCCCGCGGGCGAGGATGGACGGAGAAGGGCGAAAATCTGCTGCGTCGTTGTGACGGGGCCCGGGAGAGCTTCCTGTCGTGAGAGGGAGGGTTTAAAAATAGGGGTGTTGGGGTGTCACCAGGAATAAGGTCGTCGGCTAGGAAGGAACGGGCAAGGCAAAGTCGGCTTCTGCTAACTCCGCCCCCTCCACCCCGGGCCCCGCCCCTCCACCTGAGCCCGGCAGCCCCGCCCCTCCCTCCCTTCATCCGGGCCCCGCCCCTCCACCTGAGCCCGGCAGCCCCGCCTCTCCGCCTGAGCCCCAGCCCCGCCCCCTCCACCCGCGCCCCGCCCCCTCCACCCCAGCCCCTCCCTCCCTCCCTCCACCCCAGCCCCGCCCGCCTCTGTCCGCAAAGGTGTGGCCTCGCCCGCCAGCAGTGAGGGAACGCGAGCGTCCAACCCGACGTGCTCACGTGCCCGGAAAAGGAGCCGTGTGAGTGGAGTGCAGCCGCCAGGACCGTCTGACACCACCGGAGGCCGGCCCCCGCACGCCTGCGTGAGCACGGAAGCCCGCGCGTGAGCGGCGCGCGCCAGGGGCCTCCCTGAGGTCTCAAACGCGTCACCCGGAGGCCACCCGGCCGTTGTGCGCAGGGTGGGTGGTGCATCGTCCCGATCATGGGCAAGGAAAGTGTCAGACCCTACACCGCCCTGCCCCGCTCCTGCGGATGGGCGTTACCCGTGTGTAACTGGGAGTCACAGCCCCCGTGGACGCGGGCCCTGGTGCGGGGTTGGCCCGGTGGCCTCCCTTCCCGGCCGGCTCCAGCCCCTTCCGTGTAGGCAACACACAGTCGGCCTCCTCCCGCCTCACCTGCAGACGGCACCCACTGCGGCAGCCACAGCCACACCAGGCAGCCGGGCCTTCACCCCTTATCGACTACTTTGGCAGCTGCCACAGATCTTAGCCCCTGGACCACACCGAAGTCCCCACCTCCTCACCCCTAGGTTCGCAAGCGGCTTCTCCTGAGTGAGAAAGGGCTTGGCCTGTCCCTGGCAATAAGCCTTTCCTTGTTCTATGTGCCTGGATGTCTGCATGGTTTGCTGGCAGGGCCTAATAGGTAAACAACAAAGTTCAACATTAAGGGGGGGAAAGGCAAAATGTCCAGTCTCCCAGGGAACTTTTCTCTGAGGAAACACAAGACTGTTGGTTCATTTCGGGGAGTCAGAAATTTATATTTAAAATGGGTGGTATGTCCACCATTCCAGCACTGGAGACTGAGGTATGAGGATCAAAAGTTCCAGGACAGCCTGGGCTGCATAGCCAAAACAAAAACAAGTCTATTTTTTTGTATGGCACCACACGTAGGTTCTCTTACTCCCCAACCTTCCTGTTGGCCCATTGCTCCCTTCCCATGGCTTAGCATGCCCCCCCACCACACACACACAGCTTGGCATACTCCCTTCCTAGGCAACACTAGGCCCATGTAGTAAAAGCAGTAAATAATCAGCCTCCAACCCCTTTACCTTAAGATGGCACTGTTCTGGGGCAGTCACCACCATAGAAGGCAGCAAGAGCCCCTTAGAGTGACCTTCAGGTCTGGGCAGCTGCAGGGTCCATCAATCCTAGTCCACTATGACAAAGCCACTGGCCCTCACGTCCACACCAAGATCTCTGCCTCCTAGGCCTGTCTAAACCTCCTAGGTAACACAGACCACCTCAGACAATAACCGGCACTTCTCACTTCTCTCTTGTGAGAAGGGGTGTCACCAGTCCCGTTACTGGCAATAAACCTTTGTTCTTTGTACCTGGATGTCTGTGTGATTTTCTGTCAAAAGTCTAATATATTTTAACACTTCCCTAACCCTACTACTCACAGGTCAATTGTTTCCCAGAACTGCCAAGTTTGCTCCCAGCCCCAGGGACATAGGTCTGCAGTCTGGCAGAGTGCCCCCAATGAAGTGAAGAGTTTACCTGTAGGGAGAGGAGAGGAAGAGGGGCCTGGTGGATGTGGAGCTGATTCTGCTGGTGTGTGCTACAGTGCTCTCAGTACCAGGAGGCACCAGCTTGGGGCAGCAGCCTAGGACCCCCTCAGACAACCCAGGGACTGTCCCAGGCAAGCAGGATACCTCCCTCCTGCAGGCACAAACACACCCCTCTGATGGCACAGCCCTTGCTAAACCTGAGGCCTGCTCTCCACAAAACTGGCCTGATCCCAGCACCTTTTCATTCAGTCTAAAATCTCAAACTGAAGCAAGATAACTTAAGGAAACTGAGGCCTGGTAAAGGCAACTCATAACTATGATATTTAGAAACACAGAAGTGCTATCTTTGCTTCAAAGAGACAACAGGATGTGTTCGTTCCTGACAGTTGCATTCCTTACCCCAAGAATTAACACCTGACTGACAGGTGGTATGCCTTCCTGAGAAAAATGCTTCCCCAAACTTAAGCCACCAAAAGGCAGAGAGCCTGACCCCTCCTTGTCTCAAGGATAGAGATCTGTTGTATGACGTTGAGAGAGCCCTGCAGGGAGTCTCTCTGCATGATAAGCTTGACTATCTCTCAAGGCTATTTACAGAATCTGGTCTTTGCATCCTGCCCCAAACAAAGACCAGGTAGCTGCTATTGACCACCTTTTCACATTGCCCTAAGCAAGCATCCTGCAGCTGCTAGCCCAATGAAAAAGCTTCCTTATTCTAAGCATATAAATATCCCTGTGTGAAAAATAAAATTTGGCAGCTTGATCAGAATCCTTGTCTTGCTGTCCTTCTTCGTGTCTCTTGTCCCTTCATTCCTTCTCGCTTAGGTTCATTGCCCTGGTTGAAGTCCTGCGGGTCGGGACAGTATGACAGGATGCATTCTTACCTGCAAACTCAGAAAGCAACACCAGTGTGCTTAGAGCAGACAAAGCCAAGACCCCTGCCTTTACCCTATAAATACCCCAACCGCCCAAAGAGCCGGCGTCTCTCTCGGGGTCTGGGTCTCTCTGCATGCTCACGATCCTGTGCGTGTGTCTCTGTCCCCAGGAAAGCACCCACACTCTGCTGGAGCGAGCCCCTGCCCTCATCTGCTTGTTGGCTTGGTCAATAAAGCTCTGCCGGGTGTTCTTACCACTGTGATTAGTCTGCATGACAGCCAAGGACCCTAGGTGAAGAGTTCCTCCATTTAAAGGGCACCTTCACTAACCCTCACTGTAAAACCAAATTCGGAAATCCTTACCCAAAAGACCACCAGAGACCGTCACCAATGAATAAGCAAAGGAGTCTATTGCAAGCTCGAGCTTGGTCCCCCCCCCCCCCCTCTTGAGTACATGGCAGCAGCCCATGACGCTGAGAGGCCCCGAGCCCAGAGTTATAGCACTTTTTATACACTTTTAGGGAAGGCAGGGACTTTGTATACAGCATAGCATCTTACAACAAACTACTACACATGGCGGGAAACTCTTAATACACTTCTATAGTATGATTGGCAGGAACAGGTTGTTGGTTAGATCAGAGGGCTGAGGTGCTTTAAACTGGTTGGCTGGCGCCACAGGGAGCGCCAAGGAGATGCCTGCTGAACTGCGGGGTCACCCTGCCCGCAGCACGCCTGCCTGCGGCCTAGTGCCCCGGAATTGCTTCTTCTGTTCATTCCCAGGCCGGCTCATGGTCAGCTGCACAACTCATACCTCGGAAGATGACCGCTAGCTCAAGACGGAGTCACCCAGGCCTCAGGCTCCTCACTCACCCCGCGGACAAGGCTGTAAGGAAAGGGCCTACGCCTGCAGGAAGGTCAGCCGCGCCTGCGCGGCCGGACCTCCCTCCCGCCCCGCCTCCGTGGTGAAGTGTTGGCGTCATCCGTCTGCGCCGTTCCCCCTCCCCTCAGTAGTGAAGTGCTGGCGTCATCCGTTGGCCCCGCCTCCGTAGTGAAGTGTGATGTCATCCGTGCGCGCCGACCCGTCGACGCTCTCCCTACGGCAGCCCGCTAACGCCCGCCCTCGGACTAGGGAAGAGCCCGGTCTCGCGAGACCGTGACGCGCGCGGCGTCGCGCAGCCCCGCCCCGCCCGTCCCGCTCCCGGCTGGGTCTCGCGACACCGCCGGGCGGGGCGGCGCCAGTTGTCCCGCGCCATGGCCGCCGTGCGTGCCCTCCTCCCCGGCGCCCGCGCCCTCCTCCCCGGCGCCCGCGGCCGCTTGTGGCTCCTCTCCGGCCTCCCGGCGCCGCGACCCTTCGCCTCGCGTGAGTAGCGCCCCGGCGGCGTCGGCACCCGCCACCCGGCCCGGACCCCACACGCCGAGTCCTGTCACCCCCGGCCGCTCGGGGGCCGGGAGCTGAGCCCAGGCTGCGGCGGGAGCCCCGCGCGCGCCCCGGCCCCGGCCGCGCGCCCGGGCCCCGCCGCGCCCGCCGGCCCTGCCCGGCCTGCCCGCTCCGAGCGCCCGAGCGCCCGCCGGCCCTGCCCGGCCTGCCCGCTCCGAGCGCCCGAGCGCCCGCCGGCCCTGCCCGGCCTGCCCGCTCCGCGCGCCCGCCGGCCCTGCCCGGCCTGCCCGCTCCGAGCGCCCGCCGGCCCTGCCCGGCCTGCCCGCTCCGAGCGCCCGCCGGCCCTGCCCGGCCTGCCCGCTCCGAGCGCCCGAGCGCCCGCCGGCCCTGCCCGGCCTGCCCGCTCCGCGCGCCCGCCGGCCCTGCCCGGCCTGCCCGCTCCGAGCGCCCGCCGGCCCTGCCCGGCCTGCCCGCTCCGAGCGCCCGCCGGCCCTGCCCGGCCTGCCCGCTCCGAGCGCCCGAGCGCCCGCCGGCCCTGCCCGGCCTGCCCGCTCCGAGCGCCCGCCGGCCCTGCCCGGCCTGCCCGCTCCGAGCGCCCGAGCGCCCGCCGGCCCTGCCCGGCCTGCCCGCTCCGAGGGCGCCGCCCGCCCGGGTCGGGGCCTCTGGCCGGCTGCGCGCTTGGATTCTGGTTGTGAAATCCCGTGTGTGTTTAGATGTCGAGCAGGTCGGCCTGGGAATTGGCAGTGGAGTTTGCGGCTCGTGACGTACCCTCCCCCCCCCCCCCCACCCCGCGTTCCCCGCACTCGCCCTCACACCATCCAGTCTCCAATTCCAAGCTCAGCGGGTGTCCCCACTCTCCTGCCGACCAAAGCGCCCTGTACCTGTCCTGCCCTGTACCTGTCCTGCGCAATGCATAGCCGTGGCCTGGCTCGGCCACTCCTGCACTGCAGCCTGGAGGGCCCTTCACTTGCTGCCCCTCAGCACTTCATGACAGTTCATGACCAACACCCACTACACACACACACATACACACACACACACTCACTCTGCCAGTCAGCCAACACTCCCCCCTCCAAGACACACACAGGTACTCTGCCAGTCACCCAACACCCCCCCCCTGCCCCCCAACACACACATGTACTCTGCCAGTCACCCAACACCCCCCCCCAAGACACACACAGGTACTCTGCCAGTCACCCAACACCCCCCCCAAGACACACACAGGTACTCTGCCAGTCACCCAACACCCCCCCCCCTGCCCCCCAACACACACAGGTACTCTGCCAGTCAACCACACACACACGGGTACTCACGCTGCCAGTCACCCAACACCCCCCCCCCCCGCCCCCCAACACACACAGGTACTCTGCCAGTCAACCACACACACACGGGTACTCACGCTGCCAGTCACCCAACACCCCGCCCCCCAACACACACAGGTACTCTGCCAGTCAACCCCACACACACACGGGTACTCACGCTGCCAGTCAACACCCACCACACACTCGCTGTGCCAGGCTCTCCAAGTCTACGGGGTCAGCTGGATGCCACTCTAGGTTTTAGCTGTCATCGTATATGACCTGTGTGTTACCTCTGTCCTCCCACCACACTACCACCCAGCATAGCCAGGGCGTTGTTCATGACCTCACATGATCTCTCGCCATGTTCTGGGACAAGCTGGCCTATGGCACAGAGAGAGAGTGCTGTGTTGCATACTGGTGGTGGCTTTAACATGCAGATGTGAAAGCAGTGAGTGAGGTAGGAGATACAGGCCAAAGCCACAGGGTTAAGGCAGCACCCTGGGCCTCTGACGCCTGTGTGATATCCTTTTTGCCTTTTTGTCCTAGGGGCCAACTTTGAGTACATCGTTACAGAGAAAAGGGGTAGGAATAGCAGTGTGGGACTCATCCGGCTGAACCGCCCCAAGGCGCTCAACGCCCTCTGCAATGGCCTGATTGAGGAGCTCAACCAGGCCCTGGAGGCCTTTGAGGAGGACCCAGAGGTGGGCGCCATTGTGCTCACTGGCAGTGATAAGGCATTTGCTGGTACGCTGGATGCCGGGTACGGGTGTGGGAGACAAGCCCATGGGCCATGGGGAGTAGTGAGAGGTGCCTCTAGCCAGGCCCTGACGGCCCGCACTTGTAATCCTAGCTACCCAGGAGGCTGAGATCGAGGATCGTGACTCAAAGAGCCAACTTGAACAGGAAAAGTCCCTAAGACTGTTATCACCATTTATTCACAGAGAAAGCCTGACGTGGTAGCTCAAGTGGTAGATTGATGGCCTTGAGCTAAAGGAGTTTAGGGACAGCAACCAGGCTCAGAGTTCAAGGCTAGGACTCATTGTAAAAATGGTAGTGTGTGGCTGAGGACTTATTCCCATGTAAAGTGAGCTTGGAAGAACAGCTGAATGCTCATTTGTTCCAAAGCAACTCAGGTGCTTACTGGTTGCTTACATGATTGACAAGTCCTGCTTCTCTGTCCACCTGACATCTGTCACCTGCCTGTGCTTGGCCCCTTTACATGACCTCATTCAAGCAGGCATTTTACAGTGTTGCCTGACTGCAAGTTGGTTATTCCCTACTTCCCCCTAAGCCCTATACACGATCCACTTGAAAGCTGCCTGTAGATTTGGGTCTGTAGGACTGCTGGACTCTGTTCTCTGGTAGTTGGAACCTCTTCTGCCTTTAGCTGGAGCTGATATCAAGGAAATGCAGAATCAGACATTCCAGGACTGTTACTCCAGCAAGTTCCTGAGCCACTGGGACCACCTCACCCGCGTGAAGAAGCCAGTCATTGCTGCCGTCAATGGTTTTGCTGTGAGTGTCCCCTTCAGGGTCTCCTGTGGGTTGTGGAAGGAATTACACTATGATAAAGTGGGCCCACAGAGCCCTTCCTGTCCCAGTGGCTGCTTTGAAGTCATCACAGCAGAGCTCGGTATTTGCCTTAGAATATTTATTTATCTGTTGTGGGGCTTGAACTCTGGGCCTGGGCACTGTCCCCCAGCTCTTCAGCTCAAGGTGAGTGCTCTACCACTTGAGCCACAGCACCACTTCGGTTTTCTGGTGGTTAACTTTATTCTACTAGATTCATCTTTATTGTGCCCAGTTTCATTTTAATGGAAAAGTTTGTAAGAATAATGCTTCTGCCTGGGCTCCTATGTAAAACCTACCTGCTGCCAACCTTTGTTCTGCAGCTTGGTGGGGGCTGTGAGCTTGCAATGATGTGTGACATCATCTACGCTGGTGAAAAAGCCCAGTTTGGACAACCAGAAATCCTGCTGGGAACCATCCCAGGTGAGAGCGTGGCTGCTCCAGTGCACACTCCTTGGGTCCTTTGGGGCCCATGGCTTGCATCCAGCCAGAGGCCCAGATGGGTAGTTCAGGCACGGACCACAGTGCTCCCTCTACAGACACACACGAGGAAGAGAAGGCTCAGTACTGCACTGGAATGCCAGGCAGTGTCCAGCTCCCATGATGACATGGACTCCTGTCTGATGTGTCACACCGCAGTGGTGCTGGCTTATAGCCACACAGGTTTTCTCCTATCCATGGTTCCAGCAGAGCCCTGTCATTCAGAAATGGGAGAGTTATATGGGACTCTAGCCTGTCCACCCCTACATCACTGGCCACAGTGGGTCACACAACCTCACTGAGCTTGGCACAGCAGGGAGTCAAGGAAAGTCCTGGGAAAGAACAATGCTGTCTACAGCTGGGCTCTTCCTTGGTGGGCCTGGCAGGCTGGTAGCCCAGTTCCTTGGTGGGGAGCCGTGCTCAGAGGACCTCTGCTGCCACAGATCGCATGCAGAAAGCTTGGCACACAGGTTCAGAACCTGCCCCAGGGAGGGCAGGAATGCCTGGGACTGGAACGCTGTGGGGGGAGAGAGGCATCTGCGGGCCCCACTGAGACCAGGACCTTAGTCCTGAAGTACCTTCTTGCTGGCTGCCTTGGTTCTGCTCGCCTGCCAACTGGGCATGTCTTAGCTTTATCTTTGGTTCCTGTGAGCTTGCCAACAGCACATTCTCTCTCTCTTTTACTCTCTCCCTTTCCCTCCTCCTTCTCCCTCTTACTCTCTCCCTTTCTCTCTTTCCCTCTCCCTCTCACCCTCTTTCTCCCCCTTTTTCTCTCTCTTTCTCCTTCCCTCTTTTTTTTCTCTCTCTCTAGGGAGAGATGTACCTCTTTACTGACATGTAAACTCAGAGCTTTGTGCTTACTAGACAGGCACTCTACCACTTGGATTATCTGTCTAGCCCATTTGGGTTTGGTTTTTGAGGCCCTGCTTTTTTGCCTGGGCCATCCTGGACTGCTCTCCTCCCTAGGTTTCCCGCCGTAGCTAGCATGACAGGCATGCACCACTACATCCAGCTTCCTCTGTTGCAAGCAGGTCTTACAAACTTTTTGCCCCGCTTTCAGTTGCTTGGAAACTTTGCCTGGGCTGGCCTCAAACTGTTATCCTGATCTTGGCCTCCCCCAGGTTTCACAGGTATGAGTCCCTATGCCTGGCTACCGTTCCTTCTCTTTCTTCCTTTCTTCTCTTTCTTCCAGGGCTTTGTGAGTGCTGAGTAAGTGCATGCTCTGTGACTAAGTTGCTTCCCATCCCTGGTTTTCTTCTAGCCTCCCTAATACAGGGTAGCTGTGACCACAGCCTTCTTCCCGCAGGTGCTGGAGGCACCCAGAGACTCACCCGTGCAGTTGGAAAGTCCCTGGCAATGGAGATGGTCCTTACTGGTGATCGGGTCTCAGCCCAGGATGCAAAGCAAGCAGGTGGCACATCTGCCCGTGGGAGTCAGGTGGAGCCTCGGGGACTGCATCAGCTGCCCCTGGCCCTGGAGGCCCTGGCTCCTACCTTCAGGTTCTGTGCTCACAAACACAGTACTAAGAGAGAATAACTGCAAGTGTCCCGGTTAGAGAGCAATAAGGCCGCATCCCTCCCCACACCCCAGCGTGGGCAGTGGGGCTCACTGGGACCTCAGCCCTCGTTCTCCCACCTCTGGCCTTGGTGCATCAGAGGCAGCAGCTGTGGAGAAGCAGCCCCCACCCCCGCCCAGCTGTCCTTGTCCTTGTTTAGCACTCAGAGCTCGGGCCGTTGGAGAAATGGAGCTGGCACTACGCTGCATGTTACTCTCATTTTCTGTTTTAGGTTTGGTAAGCAAGGTTTTTCCTGTTGAAACACTAGTTGAAGAGGCCGTCCAGTGTGCAGAAAAAATTGCCAGCAATTCCAAAATTATAACAGCCATGGCCAAAGAATCTGTGAATGCAGGTAGGGGAAAAGTGGGGAGGGTCCCCAGATAGAGTCTGTCTGTCCTGAAGACAGAGTCGTGAGGCCTGTCCTGGGCATAAATGGGAGTATTCTCAAGATTGTGATTTCTGCCTTCGAGTTCCAGATCTTAGTCAAATGTCGAATACCCTTTTGTACTAGGGCCCCAAACTGGGCCAGGCCTGCCGGGGGCGGCAGTGTAGTGGAGGGAGCGCCGCCCCGAAAGCCACGCTGTTCTCTAGTTCGTCGCAAAGCAGGTCTCCCAGGACCTGGATTGTAGTTTCTCTTCTTACCACAGGCTGTGATGTATGTAGAGAGTCTGCATTGTGGGGCCCCAAGTGGCACAGCTCACGAGAAGCATTTACAGGCGCCATCTGCTGTCTCTAAGGGTGAAGCTTGTTTGACCTCCCTCAGAGCTGCTTGAGCCTCGGTGTAATGGTTTATTCAGCATTTAGCATCCCACTGTGATGCTGCTCTGTGTTGCCTGTAGAGGAAGCGAGACCCCAACTGGGCTGCAGGCCGCACAGCCCTGTGACCCTGTCCCCCTCAAGAGGGACGCCAGCCCGGTGGTATCAGCCTGGTGGCCACTAGCCTTGGTGGATGCTCTGACGTGTGGGCACCAGCCATGTGATGTCCACAGGAAGACACCCCTGCGTGACCCAGGCTCCGGCGGGCTCACGTCTTAGGTGTTGGGAAAGCACTGCCGTGTGCCCTCCACTACAGAGAAAGGCCTAGGATGAGGCCCGAGCAGATGACACTTGATTCTGTCTGGCCATTCTCTTCTGGTTTTTATCCTTTTCTATTTTCTGTGCTTTTGTTTTCATCAGCCAACTATTTTTTTTTTTTTCTTGGTTGGTCCTGGGGCTTGAACTCTGGGCCTGGACGCTGTCCCTCAGCTCTTCAGCTCAAGGCGAATGCTCTACTGCTTGAGCCCCAACGCCACTTCTGGTTTTCTAGTGGTTTATTGGAGATAAGAGTCTCACGGACTTTCCTGCCCAGGCTGGCTTTGAACTGCGATCCTCAGATCTCAGCCTGCTGAGTAGCTAGGATGACAGGCAGGAGCCACTGGCGCCCAGCCAGCTCCTATTCTTATAACTGGGCAGATTTTGCCATTTTGCCTTTGTCAAGCTCTGGGTATTTCTCCCCTGTGAATACCCTGAGCCACTGCCGGCATCATTTTGGAAGCCTGGGAAAGCATTTTGTTCATGTGGCCTTCTCTGATGAGGCCACGCATTTGAAAGTGAAGAGGAGTGTCCAGCAAGGGGGCCTTTGCAGAGGAAGCCAGACCTCGGTGTGCCACCAGGGGTCAGGGGCAGCAAGAAGGTCCACCACTGTGATCTCTGCTTCTGAGAGCCTGAATCCCAGTTTGTGAGTGTAAGGTTTCTCTTTCAGCTTTTGAAATGACACTAACAGAGGGAAACAAATTGGAGAAGAAACTCTTCTATTCAACCTTCGCTACTGTGAGTGAACAAGATTCTGCTTGAAATTCGAGTATTCCAGTTCTGGGAGTTTCTGAGAGTTTTCCTTCAGGTTTCATCATTAGATGACACTTCCTTTTAGTCAGAACTTGTTAGCTTCCCTTCTAGCTAGATCAGACTTACTCTGCTGGTGGCCTTGATTTTATTTAAAAGGTAGAATATATGGAAGTTAAAAGAAGAGAATGCTTTTCGGGTCATTTTGTATTGTAAAAATACCCTGTGCTGGGCTGGGAAGGTGGTTCAGTGGTAGAGCACTTGCCTTGCATGCATGAGGCCCTGGGTTCGATTCCTCAGCAGCACATAAGCAAAAAAAAAAAAAAAAGCCGGAAGTGAGAAAAAAAAAAAGCCGGAAGTGGCACTGTGGCTCAAGTGGTAGAGTGCTAACCTTGAGCTGAAGAGCTGAGGGACAGCGCCCAGGCCCAGAGTTCAGGCCCCACGACCAGACCAAAACAAAAAAAAATGCCCTGTGCTTGTACCCTTAAGCCAGCTGCTCCTTGCTTTAAAGTGCAGTTCATGGCGGGCTTGCAGTCCTCGTACTTGAGAGGCTGAGCGGAGAGGATTGCTTGAGCTCAGGAGTTGAGGATCAGTGAGCAACTTGAGATACTCTCGAAAACAAGGCATATTCATTTTACCTGTATTCTCCCTCAATCACTCCATTTATTTAGAATGTGGTTCAAATGTATCGCATAATACTGTAATTTGATAATATAGTAGTTCTTTTTTTTCCCAGTCTTGGGGTTTGAACTCGGACTAGGCACTGTCCTTGAGCTTCTTTTGCTCAAGCCTAGCACTCTACCACTTGACCGCTTGAGCCACAGCACTATTTCCAGCTTTTTCTGTTAATGTGGTACTGAGGAATCAAACCCAGGGCTTCATGCATGCTAGCAAGCACTCTACCACTGAGCCATACTCCCAGCCCCCTTAATTCTTTCTTTCTCCTCACCCCCCTTTCTTTTGGGCAATCCTAGGGATGGAACTCAAGGCCTGCTGCGTGCTAGGCAGGCCTTCCACCACTTGAGCACACCGACCCCTCCATTTTTCATCTTTGAGGAAGAGTAGCTCTGTATGCATGGGCTGGCCGGGCTCCAATCTTCTATTTGTGCTTCTCTCAGTTGTGCTCCCCATGAAACTACACCCAGCCTTTGTGCTTCCCCTGTAGCTAAGATAACAGGTGTATGCCACCACACCCACCATGGATTGAAGAGGGGTCTCACCAACTTGGTGTGTGTGTGCCAATACTAGGGCTTGAACTCAGAACCTGGGGACTATCCTTAAGCTTTTCTGTTCAAGGGCTAGAACTCTACTTTTTTGGGGGGAGGGGGAGCATTGGTCGTGGGGCTTGAACTCTGGGCTTGGGCGCTGTCCCTCTAGCTCAAAGCTAGTGCTGTACCACTTGAGCCATAGCGCCACTTCCAGCTTTTTCTATATATATGGTGCTGAGGAATTGAACCTAGGGCTTCATGCATGCCAAGCAAGCACTCTACCACTGAGCCACCTTCCCAGCCCCACACTACCATTTGAGTCAAAACTCCCCTTTCTCATTTTATGCTTTCAAGTATTTTCTATGATTCTTGCCAGTAACTTAAAGGAACTTGTCTCCTAGTTGGCTGTTATAATGAACTTCTTTTATTATTAGAAAATCATACTGCCCAGGTGTGTTAAAAAGAAGCTTAAACACAGTTTAGGGCTCGTGGGTGTGCTCACAGTGCAGTGCATGTGCAGAGCAGAGTTCTAACCCTGCCTCTTGACTCTGAGTCTCTACTGGTGCTGGTGTGTGTGGTTACTGAGGGACCGTCACCCCCATCTCTCGCCCTAGCCTGTGTGAGGATTCCTGTCCTGGGCAAGCCCCTGCACAGTCCGTCTCCCCAGGGCGGGGGCAGCAGCAGGAGCAACACTCGGGCAGGTGGGGAGGGGCAGGTGGGGGGCCCGACAGAAGGATGTGAATGTCACCTTTCCTCCTCTTCCTTCTTCTGCCAGGATGACCGGCGAGAAGGCATGGCTGCCTTTGTGGAGAAGAGGAAGGCCAACTTCAGAGACCACTGAGAGCCAGAAAGTGCAGCCTGCCTGTTTAGAAGCAAACAAATCATCCCCCTAAAGGGCAGTGTGGCCATGGTAGCCTCCCAGCCAGGGGGTGGGGCTGTGGCCTCTGCTCAAGCCCTTGGGTAGCCAGCTGCATTGATGCCGAAGGGAAGGTTGATCGTGTTGGGTCTGATCAGAGTACTTTCTTGCAAATCAAATCCGCTGAGGAGCCTTGGAGGTGTTTTCACAAGGGACCGGTGTTTGCAGCCATGGTCTCTGGGCACTGAGTCGGGCGGGAAGCAGTGGCAGCTGCATCTGCAGCTGTGCATTGACTGTTCGGGAGAGGGGCTCTGTCAGCTGATTTTGAACAGGATTGTCCGATTAAAGTGACTGCTTCAAAGCTGTTAGGCCCTCTTTTTAATCCTCTAGGGGGAGGCTGAAATCTGAGGACCAAAGGTTTGAAGCCATCCCCAGTTGGCAAATCTGAGACTCTTATCCCCAGTTAACCAGCAAAAAGCCAGAAGTAGAAGCCTGGCTCAAGTGGCAGAGTGCCAGCTATAAGTGAGAAAGCTGATCAAGAGCATGAGGCCTTGAGTTCACACCCAGTGCTGATGCACACAAATGATGTTCTCATTATAAATGATCCTGAAGTAGCGTCCTCATACCGTGTTCCCACAGTAGCTGGCAACTGTGAGGTGGCTCTCTGCCATGCCCAGTACACGCATGCTCCCCACGTCCCGTCCCAGGCCCACTTCTGCAGTGGTCCTTTCTATTCTGCCATGTGCTTGTCTGGTCTCTGGTTGGTTTGGATAGTATTACAATTTGAAATCGGTCACCCAGCCATTTACTAGGCAAGTGCTTTACCAGGTGAGCCACGCCCCCAACCCTGTAGACTGTTTGAGTAGTCTCAATCATGTTTCACCATCTTAACCAGGTCTAGGAGCCTCTGCCATGCAACAGCACTTCCTGTCAGTGCCAGGCCAGGGAGGGCCTCGAGGTCCACGGGGATTGCTTCCCCCTGAGACAAGAACACGTATTCACTAGTCTAGGCCAGAACCAAACCTGAGCTAGCTGGAGCCCTCAGTGCCCAAGCCACCTGTGGCTCCCAAGGCACAGAGAAGCCCCAGCGAGGAAGTGCCCGGTCAGGATCGTGCACAGTGACTCGGTGCTCGCTGCCATTTGTTGCTTGAGTTTGGGAGACCTCAAACAAGTGGCAGGAGAGATACCCTGAGGTTCTTAGGGTGGATTCAGATGGCAGGAGCTTAGTCCTGGCCCTAGGTTGCTATGTAGTAGGAGTAGGTGTGAGGAACACTAATGCTATTCAAATTCAGTTCTGCAGCAAGTGTCAGGAGAGTCCACGCAGGTCCTGGAGCCTGGGCTAACCCTAGGATAAGGTAAAGGGTGCTGTGAGTCCAGACCTCCCAAGCCACATGGCAGCCATAGACTCACTGAAATTCGTCGGAGAATTCTGAAGACCGCCGCTACCTGCACCCCATCAGTATGTGCCCTCCTTAAAATGACTGCTGCGCTGACATCAAGCCGGAGAGAGGCAACATACAACAGAACTTAGGGTTTGTGATAAAGCCACAGAGACTAGTGTGGTCTCCCACCGCAAAGGCTCAGACCCGACCTGGGAGCCGCTCAGGACCATTCTCCCCGGGTGAAGCCTACACACACCTACCTGTGACTGTCAGATGGCATTTACACTCCCACTCAGTGGTATGCAATCTGGATTATATTTTGGCTTTGGGCTGGCATGGGCCAAGAGCATGCAGACCCCAGCCTGGCAGACCTGAGCTGAAGAGGGAATGACCGCCCACTGAGAGCTGACCTTTGCCAAGCTCTGGCGGCACGTCTCGGATGACCGCTTGTGTTCAGCTGCAGCGCAGCTCACTTGCTGTGGCACTTGCCTGCCAGGGGTCAGCTCTGCGGTCTGCCAGGCTTGCCTGTCTTCTCTGGAAGTCAGCACAGACAGGAGGATCTGCTGAGTTCTCAGTTCCCCCCTCACACAGGCCGAGGACCTTGTGCACACGCTTCTTTACAGCACTTGGCAGGGCAGAATGGGGCCCCTCAGCCAGGTGCAGCCTCAGCTGAATATACAGGGTGAGCACAGGACAAGGAAACTGCCGACCAGAGTCGAGTAAGCGAGCAGAGGAGGTTTCCAAAGATTTTAGTGCCCAGCGGAGCAAACAAAATTTGAAGAACCCATTAGTAACTTTCTGTGTGCACTGGGCGTCTGCCTCTGTTATTTGATTTTGAGTGGGTTTTGAGACACCTACTGGCTGCTAGCTCTCCTGTCAGCCATCGCTGACCACAGGAAAGGGCTCCATAGCACACCTCCCTGAGGGCATCGCAGACAGCCCTCTGCCAGCTTCCTGCCTACCCACGTCCCTGCCCCCGCTTCAGATGGTGTGTGGGGAGGCAGCCTCAGGAAAGGAGGGAGACCCCATCCTGCATTGAGCTAATTGGCCACTGGCTCCACTTGGGTTTGGGCTTCTATTTACTTTTGAAGCTGAAACCTTCCTTGTCTTTGTTCAGTACTAAATGAGGAAGCTGAGGCAGGAGCCCTTCCTGTGCAGCCCCCAGCCATCCTCCAGGCCTGCTGCCCCGTCTGGGATGGGGTGGGGAGCAGAGGGGGGGGGAGTGCACGGACATCTTCACAGGTGTTTGCTGTGGTGGTGTCGCCTTCCCACGCCAATGGTAGACTTCCACGGGGCTCCAAGCATTACCTGTCAGCCCTTGGCCCCGCCCTCCCAGGGGGCCGTCCCCCAGCCCCGCCCCAGTCCTTCAGAGCCTAGTGGAGCCTGCAGCCATGGTGGCACTCAAGGGCATCCCCGGGGCGCTGTCCCCGGAGCTCCTGTTTGCACTGGCACGGATGGGGCATGGAGATGAGATTGGTGAGTGCAGGGGTGGGAAGAGGACCCTGGGGCAGAAGCATAGTCCAAAATGGTGCTCTTGTTCAAAAGGGAAGAGGAGGCAGGTCCAACCTAGCTCTGGCCGCCCGCCCTCGGAGCAGGAAGCCATCTCCCACACCTGTAATTATGGCCAGCCCAGGCCCTGGTCCACCGCATTCTATGTTTGCCCACCAGCACGAGGTGGCTGTTGACGTAGGCCGAGGCTTTGTCCTGGCAAGTTCTGCCCCTCCAGCTTAGGTGTCCTGGAACAATGGCTGCCACAGAAAGCTGGGCCTATGGCTAGGTGCCCTCTCTCAGCTCCAGACTGTAAGGTCCAGTCTGGGAAGGCACGCAGATTCCTCTCTCCTCTCAGTTGTCTCCGCCCAGTACCTGTGCCACCTAGGTAACTGGCACACCTGGAGATCACATCCCGGGCAGCCCCCCCCCCTACTTCCCCCCCCCACACACACCAGGGGAGGGTCACAGGCCCCAAGGTCACATTCGCCTCCAGTGTGGCCACACCTTCCCTCACCTGGCCCCCCCACCCCCTCCCCTTCCCTACTTAAATCCAGGCTGGCCCTCAGCCCACCCCTTAGGCCACGTGGTCTTTCCTTTCCTGGCCAGGGCAAGCCACGTAGAATAAACTTCTCTTCCTGCCTGAACAGCACGTGGTGTTCTCTTTACCAGCTACCTATTAAATACCTAACACAGACTACCCCTTGGTGTTAGGTTTTTAAAAAGAGGTAGCTGTATTGTAACCCCTCTGTACAGTATGTTCTCAAATAAAATAAAATAAAATAAAAAAAGAGGTAGCTGTGTAAGAACCACACCACACATGTGGTATTCAGGTAAGGGGTTGTTTATTCATCGTTCCGGCTGGCACCAGGCCATGTTGGCCTGCCACGCGGCTGGGAAAAGACCTGGGAAAGAGAGCATCTGAGCCTGGGCTAGGCCTTATCTAGGATAGGGGGGAAGAAAGGTGTGGCCACATCAAATCCAGATGTGACCTCAGTGGATGCAGTTGTGACCTCGTCCAGGTGTGCCAGTTGCCTAGGTAACACAGGTACTGGGCAGAGACTTTGCTGCGAGGAGGGTGGAGTCTGCTCGCCATCCAGGAGCAGACCTTACACTTAGAATGCGCCTAAAGGGCCCCCGCAGCCAGTGGCTGATGGTTTCCCCCTTTGGGGGCCACTGGCCCTGGGGCAGGCTGGGCTACAGGAAACTCGGTGAGACTGTTCACTGTTCCTGTCCCAGGCAAGGGGTTCACCCTCCTTCCCCGTCTTTCCTACTCGCTGGCTCTGAAAGGGGACCACAGCCCATGCACACTGACAGCCTACCCCTACTGCCAGGTGTGTGTGGCCACCTGGGGGGCGGGCTGCAGAGAAGGTGTGCCACTGACCGGGCCTGGCCCTCTGTCTTCAGTTCTTGCAGATGCTAACTTCCCCACCTCCTCCATCTGTCAGTGTGGGCCTGTGGAGATCCGAGCAGACGGTGAGCAAGGCTGGGCTCAGGTTGGCACTGGTCTTTTTCCTATGACTTCTTCTCTGTCCTCATCCCCAACAGCTCTTTAGCCTCTCACTGAGTCCCAAGACTCAGAAGAGTGCAGGCTGTGGGGAGGCAGAGGTCTGACCCCAGCTTTGATCTCCTAGGCCTGGGCATCCCGGTCCTCCTGGAAGCTGTGCTGAAGCTGCTGCCTCTGGACACCTATGTGGAAAGCCCGGTGAGGTTCTGGAGCCTGCACCCCACAAGCAGGCTCCCCAGAACCCCACAGGCAGGCTCTAGAACCTCACAGGCAGGGCCCCAGAACCCCACAAGCAGGGCTCTAGAACCTCACAGGCAGGGTCCCAGAACCCCACAGGCAGGCTCTCCAGAACACAACAAGCAGGGCTCTAGAACCTCACAGAGCTCCAGAACCTTACAGGCAGGGCTCTAAAACCTCACAGGCAGGGTCCCCAGAACCCCACAAGCAGGTCTCTAGAACCTCACAGGCAGGCTCCAGAACCTCACAGGCAGGGCCCCAGAACCTCACAAGCAGGGCTCTAGAACCTCACAGGCAGGGTCCCAGAACCCCACAGGCAGGCTCCCCAGAACCTCACAGGCAGGCTCCAGAACCTCACAGGCAGGCTCTAGAACCTCACAGGCAGGGCTCCAAAACCCCACAGGCAGGCTCCAGAACCTCACAGGCAGGGCTCTAAAACCTCACAGGCAGGCTCCAGAACCTCACAGGCAGGGCCCCAGAACCTCACAGGCAGGCTCCAGAACCTCACAGGCAGGGCCCCAGAACCTCACAGGCAGGCTCTAGAACCTCACAGGCAGGCTCCCCAGAACCTCACAGGCAGGATCCAGAACCTCACAGGCAGGCTCCAGAACCTCACAGGCAGGGCTCTAGAACCTCACAGGCAGGCTCCCCAGAACCTCACAGGCAGGATCCAGAACCCCACAGGCAGGCTCCAAAACCCCACAGGCAGGCTCCAGAACCTCACAGGCAGGCTCCCCACCTCACAGGCAGGCTCCAGAACCCCACAGGCAGGCTCCAAAACCCCACAGGCAGGCTCCAAAACCCCACAGGCAGGCTCCAGAACCTCACAGGCAGGCTCCAGAACCTCACAGGCAGGCTCTAGAACCTCACAGGCAGGGCCCCAGAACCTCACAGGCAGGCTCTAGAACCTCACAGGCAGGCTCCCCAGAACCTCACAGGCAGGCTCCAGAACCTCACAGGCAGGGCAGGGCCGCTGACCACTTGCTGGGGGGGGGGGTGCACATGACCCCACAGGGGCCCCTCCCTGCCTCCAGGAGCGCTCTGGAGCTATCCAGCGCTGGTGTGCTGACCCCTGTCTCCTAGGCTGCTGTCATGGAACTTGTGCCAAGCGACAAGCAGAGGGGCCTGAAGACTCCAGTGTGGGAAGATTATGAGCTCCTTCTGCTCAGGGCTGGATGCACTGTGAGCTTGTAGGCTGGAATGCTGGGGGGGGGGGGGGGGGCAGGAAGCTTCTGTCTCCGGAAGGCTCAGAAAGAGTAAAACAAGGGAGAGGAGCCCCGGGACTGCCAGGTACCTGCTCACAGGCAGAAGTGGGCCTGTGCCACCTCCTATTCCCCAGAGCTGCCCACCTCCTCCCAGGATCCTGGGTTGAACCAGGGGGCCTTGCTTCCCTCCCTCTGGCCCCAGGGTAGTTTGGAGGGATGGAGGGGCTGAGAGGTAGCTGAGTGGCCCCTGGCAGGAGATGCCAGGCTCAGGAGACACCTTTCAACCACAGGACCCTGAACAGGGACATGATAGGTGCACGCACACTCACCAGATCTGAGTCACAGGTTGGTGTCTTTGAGAGCCCTGTACCCAAGAGTGAGGCCTAGAGGGCCCCTCCTCCCGCACCACCACCTGCCTGGGACTCAGCCTGTCTGGGCCTTCTGGGCAGGGTCCTCCCAACTGTGTGGTTTTATCTTCCAGAAAGCCTTGATGACAATAGAGAGGTTTGAGTTTTATGAACGAGCAAAGAAGGCTTTTGCGGTTGTTGCAACTGGGTGAGTTGGCTGCGTGCAGCTGGCTTGGGTACTCCACTCTTGAAGCCCCCCTCTGCCCCCCGCATTCCACTCTGCTTAGAGGAGACTTGGGGTCCTATGAAAAGCAGGAAGGACTTGGACTGTGGGGTCCTTGTTTCCCTGAGTGGCTGGTGTCTGGATCTCTGTCCCCAAAGGGCAGGGCCAGGGTCTCAGCACGCTGGCCAGCACAGTCCTCCTGCAGGGAGACAGCCCTCTACGGAAACATCATCCTCAAGAAGGGGACGCTGACCCCCACCCCGATGTAGGCCTGGCGGTGGCCACTGTGCACCCAGAAGTGACTTCCCCGTGACTCACCAGGCCGTGGACCCCACCCAGGGCTGCAGGAACTGGCAAGCCTTGGACGCCCCTCACCGACCAGACAGTCTCCCCATGTGTAAAAATGATGTTAAAATGAGCCACTTCAACCTTCTCTCATCCAGGCCTGTTTTATGCTCCCCAAATCCTGATGAATCCTTAGGGATTCCTTCCCGCATGGGAAGTGAAGCATGGGTCTGTGGTGTGCTGGATCTTGGAAACGGATGAGGACCTGGGAGCTGGTCAGAGGGCTGGGGCTCAGCAAAGACCTGGGAAGTGGGCAGGAGGCTCTGGCTGGGAAGGACCTGGGTGCCGGGCAGAGGGCTGGGGCTGGGTCAGGTGGGGTGCACTGGATACTGGCAGCTTGAGTGTGGGGAGAGCTCGTGTTGGCCAGGGTTGCTCCTCATCCTCAAGCAGGAGAGCAGGTACAGGCCCGGCATAATGTTTGGGGAGGAAGGATGGCTGGAATTTGCAGATGACATTGGGTACCAGTCACCCTGCTGTAGGACCACAGGCCTGAGTGTGCCAGTGTGCCAGTGTATGTGGATATGTGTGTGCCAGTCCTAGAGCTTGAACTCAGGGTCTAAGCACTGTCCCTGAGGGTTTTGTTTTTTCCCTTAAGGCTAGCGTTCTCCCACTTATGCTACCACTCCACATCTGGCTTTTTTGTGGTTAATTGGAGAAATGAGTCTCATAGATTTTCCTGCCTGGTCTGGCAGGAACCAAGATCCTCAGAGCTCAGGCTCCTGTGTAACTAGGATTACATGCACGAGCCACCAGTGCCCAGTGTCCCCGTGTGTGGAAGATTGAGTGCCCACTGCAGATACATAAATGTCCACAACTATCCAGGGGTGAAGTCAGATGCTTCTTGTTTGAAGCCTCTGTTGTCCTGGGACATAAAGGATGTGAGGTCAGCCTGGTGCTCGGCTCCAGGCAGAAGATCAGCAAGCTACAAGGGTGGCTTGAAGGTGGGTGGCTGAGGAGGGTCGTGGCATTGCCACACCATAAGATGCTTGGAGTGGGTCTTGAGGCCCTGTCCAGAGGCAAAGGCCTTTCCAGGCTCCTGTCCCTTTCCCTGTCTTCAGCCATGTGGATGCAGGAAGAAAATGGAAGAGAGATGGAGCTGGTACTTTGGAAGGCTTTTAGTCTTCTAGGAGGCAGGGAGGGGAGGGCATGTAAGTAAAATTTTAAAAATGCTGGGAGTTGGGATGGCCAAGGGCTTGCTCGGAGTGGTGGGGGGGGAGTTGGGGGGGAGTGGGGGGGAGGAGAAACACAGGCGACCAAGCCATACGCCAGTATCACAAGGAAGCCATGACAGATTTGGTGCGGAGCCTGCGGGGCCTGGCAAGGCGTTGTGGTGTGTGGTCCTTCTTGTCTGCTCCCTGCTCCTCCTCATGGCAGGATGCCCCCCCCCCCCCCCGCTCGCTCTGCACCCGCGACCCCAGCCTCCCCGCCCGCGACCCCGGCCTCCCCCCGCCCGCGACCCCAGCCTCCCCCTGCCCGCGACCCCGGCCTCCCCTGCCCGCGACCCCGGCCTCCCCCTGCCCGCGACCCCGGCCTCCCCTGCCCGCAACCCAGGCCTCCCTGCTCCCTCTGCACTCGTGACCCACTGGCCCATGGCCAGCTTCTGATCCAAGAACCACCGCTTGCCACACTTGGACTTTGGACAGCTTTGTTGAGGTTGGCACATCGTCAGGTGTGCACATTGAACACAGAGTGTGCACCTGTGAGCTCACCCCACAGGAGCAGGGGTCTGCCGTCTAACACCGGCTTCCTTGGCCAGCTAGGATTTTAGGTGAATTGAGTCAGGCAGCACTTGGCTTTTGGACAGTTGCTATGGGATTTGTACATGTTGTGTGTGCCAGTAATGTCTTATTTCTGAGTGGTAGCCTTCACAGACTAGTCTGTCTGGACGTGTGCTCCTGTTGCTTTGGGGCAGGCCTAGGAAAAGGGCTGGGCCATAGGGTAGTCTCCATGAAGCTTAGTTGACCCAGGGTGGTGGCATATGCTTGTAGTCACAACACTAGGGAGGCAGAGGCAGGGAGACTGCAAGTTCAGGACTAACGTCGGCTGCATAGCAAGACCTGACTCAAAAAAGAAAAGAGAAGGGAAGCAAAAGGAATGAAGGAAAAGGAAAGAAAAGAAGACCTTTAGACTGTTCAGCTTTGCCAATACATATTCCCACCAGCGGGGGGGGCTGGCTCCTCTCCCCTAACACCAGTGCAGTCTTCATCCCAGCCTGTCTTCTGTCTGTCTGACCGACCCCATCCGGCTCTGAGCTCAAGGCGCTGGCTCCTGACCACGGCTGTGTGAATCACTCTAGTAAGTGCTCCTAGGCTGTCCCTGACCCGGGTGACTTGGAGGGAGGGTGACGTTACCATTAACGTCACTTGGATGGGGAAATGCCTAGATTAGTACATCACGCCTCTGGGTGTGTTTCTAAGGGAGTTTCTGGAGGGCTAAGGGAAGAAAACTTGCCCTGGAGAGGAGCTGGCCATCCCACGGGCTGGGGTCCAGGTGGGTGAAGTGAAGGAAAGAAGAAAGCCCACACCCCGCATTCCTTTCCCTGCGTCAGGCTGGAGGTTACTGTCACCACCGCCTCCCTGCCAGGATGGACAAAGGCCTCAGAAACGGAGCCACGTTGTTCCTGTGGGAGAATCTGTCACGGTGTCCAAGTCCGGTTAACACTGGGAGACTGAGCCTCGGTGCCCGGGGACTGGGGCTGCCTGAGGCCTGGCAGGGTGCCCATCTATGCCCTGCCTGGGCTGGGGGCAGGGGTCTATTGACTCGCCTGCCCACACATGCTGGCAGGACAGCAGGTGCGGTGTACCACATGACCGTGAGCGTGACCTCACGGGGGCACTGGCCCCTAGTTTATGCGGCTTGAAGCCAGGGTGTGCTGGAGAATGCAGGGCACGTGCCATCACAGGGACAAACCGGGCAGCCGCGTGCTGGCTGGCTCAGCAGAATGGGGAGCTGACGGCCTCTCCTGGGTGCTCGCTCTGACGTGGCTCTGTCCCGAAGGCTGGGCCACAGTCCTCGCTGCCACTGTCGGAGCACAGTCCAGGCACCCACGTGACTCCGGTGGCCTGGCTTGTGCTAGGTGACCCTGATCAGGAGACCTTGCATCTCAGAGAGCGAGGAGCCCTGAAAATGGCCAGATGTCCCCGCTGGACGTGTGTGCCTGTCCACTTGACCCCCACGGCCACAGTCCCCATCCCTTCCAGCCCCTTCCGTGAGAGGTGGCTGCCATTCCTTGCTGAGGCTGGTCCCACAGGCTGCCCACCCCAGCCCCACAGGCTGCCGTGAGCCTGGGGGTCAGTGGAGCCCGGGTGCCCTTCCGGGGCGGAAGCAGCCCTCCTCCCGGCAGAGCAGGCTGGGCCTGAGCCACTGGTCTAGTAGATGGTCACAGGCTGCGCATCTGTTTGCAGGTGTTTATTTTTCTGGCCGGGAAGGATCATCGATCAACCCCGTGGCCTCGGCCGTGGGCAGGGACAGGAGGGTGGTTAGTGCCTTTGGAGCTCCCCGCCACCAGGGTGGCAGGTGTGGCCTAGGTCCTCCAGACAACACTGTCCTAAAACTGGGACTCGTCCCCTCCCTAGACCTCCGACAGGGGGTGGTACAGGCTGTCAAGATCAGGCTCAGGACCTCGCTGGGGGCGGCGAAGAGGGCTCAGGGTGTCCTTGATCTCCACCCAGGCCTTGGCATCTGCAGACAGGTAAATGCAGGTATGGCCTCAGTTTCCTCCCAGCCCCTTCCCTCCCTCCCTTCCCCCTGGTCCGTCTGGGGTGGCCTCAACCCACCCAGGCCTGGCAGCTGCTCCTCTGCCCGCGTCCCGATGGGCTCAGGGTTCAGTCTCCCCAGCGGGTCATCCTCGTGAGTCTCCATGGCTTGGGCGCCCCAGGCCCTGCAACACAGCTGGTCAGGTCCATGTGCAGGTGGGGAGCCCCCTGTCCCAGGAAGTTAGTCCAGCCTGCCAGCCAACACCTGCCCCGTGCCCAGACAGGCCTTCCCGGAGCTCTGCCCCTGGGGTGCGAGACGGGCTGGGACTGTCTTTTTTTTTTTGGTCAGTCCTGGGGCTTGAACTCTGGGCCTGGGCACTGCTCCTCAGCATTTCGGCTCAAGGCAAGCGCTCTACCACTTGAACCACAGCGCCACTTCTGGTTTTCTGGTGATTTCTTGGAGCTAGTCTCAGGGACTTTCCTGCCCAGGCTGGCTTTGAACTGTGATCTTCGCTCTCAGTCTCCTGAGTAGCTAGGATGACAGGCCTGAGCCACCAGTGCCGGCTTCACAGCAGGATTCTTAAGGACAAGCACCTGTGCTGTGCCCAGATGGCCCACCAGCGGCTGCCAAGGAGATGGAGTGGGGGGAGGGGCGGGACCCAGGTGACTCTGCTCCTGAGCTGGAGGAGGAGGGGGAGGGGGAGGGGCCCAGGTGACTCTGCTCCTGAGCTGGAGGGGGAGGGGAGGGGGAGGGGCCCAGGTGACTGCTCCTGAGCTGGAGGGGGAGGGGGAGGGGGAGGGGCGGGACCCAGGTGACTCTGCTCCTGAGCTGGAGGGGGAGGGGGAGGGGAGGGGAGGGGAGGGACCCAGGTGACTCTGCTCCTGAGCTGGAGGGGGAGGGGGAGGGGGAGGGGAGGGGAGGGACCCAGGTGACTCTGCTCCTGAGCTGGTCTCAGGCATCCAGGGCCCAAGCTTCAGCCGCCGGAAATTCCTAGGCAGGGCTGCTCTCCCGCACCCAGGGCCCGCTGCAGATACAAGGTGGGCCAACAAACAGTGGCCTGAAGCTTTGGAGGAGGAGCAGAAAGGTCTGAGGCACTTACTTCTCCGTGTCTGGCTGGGCTGCCCCGAGGGTACCTCTGGTCTTGGAGTCCTGGAGGGTGCGGGACAGGGGTGAGCTCCACCCGCAGGAGCAGGGGTTAGAGGTCACCCAGGGAGAGACAGTCCCAAGCTCACCCCGGGCTAAGGGCCGGGCTTTGGCTCCACCTGTGCACATCCAGGAGGGTAAGGAGCACCTTGGCAGCATGGTGTGTGGGGCGAAGCCCCGAGGCTGCACGGGGGAGGCCGCCCAGCTCCCCGGCACAGCCCTGGGCTCTGCACCCTACTGAGCCCTGAGACTAGTCTGGCTGCACTGGGTGGAAACAAAGGGAACGCTGGGGAAGGACAGCTCGCGAGGGCCGTGGAGGCCATGGAGGGCCTCGGAGGCTGTGGAGGGCCGTTGAGGGGAGGGCCATGGAGGGCCGTGGAGGCCCTGGAGGGCCGCGGAGGCCGTGGAGGGCTGTGGAGGGGAGGGCTGTGGAGGGCCGTGGAGGGGAGGGCTGTGGAGGGCTGACCTCTGCGTCCTCACCCCTCCCAGGCTTACCTTGAGGAGCTGACCGTGACAGGCCCTTCCCCATCCAGCACAGCCTCTCAGCACAGGGCAGCGGAGGCCCAGCACACAGCCTCCGCTCGCTCCCCGGGGCCCCGGAGGCCACGTCCCCTCCCTGGGCCCACCTGGGTGTCACGGAGGCCACGCCCCCTCCCTGCCTGTCAGACCCAGTGGAAGGGCATCTGCTTCTCATCCTGCAGTCTCGCTTACATCTGTGCCCCACCAAGCTGACCCCAGGGGACAGCGGCCTTCCCCGCACCCCCTGCCGGCTGGGGTGGACGGTGACTGGCCGCAGGGAGAGGCCAGCAGCATACCTGGGGTGGACGGTGACTGTCTGCAGGGAGAGGCCAGCGTACCTGGGGTGGTGGGCCTGCAGCAGCTTCCCACAACAGCATGGCCGCCAGGCCGGCGACCAGGAGGAGTCTACAGGATTGGGGCGGGTGTGAGGGTGTGAGCCGCTTCCCTGCCCACCTTCCCATCACCCCTACCCCGGGCAGGACCTGGGTGGACATTGCGGTGCCATCCCGCAGCGGGGAGGGCCCATGGGGACCCGTGACCCCCACCCACAGGACGGCCCCCTCAGGTAGGGGTCAGGGAGGGGGAGGGGTGCCCCGGGGGCCTGGGACGGAGCCCTGGAGGGAGTGGTTGGGCTGTCCGGTCCCCAGAGGTGAGTTCCTGTGCTGGGCAAGGCCTGAAGGACCGAACCCCCTTTGGGGACCGTCCCCTGCTGTCTGAGGTGCCTCCCTGCGGGCCTCCCCTCCTGGCTCCACGACCTCCAGACCCCCAGCCTCCGGGCTCCCACCCCTCCTCTTTCTGGCTGGCCCAGCCCAGAGCCTCGCCCTGTCCCAGGGCTCCCTCCACAATGGTCCACTGGGTCAGAGGCTCGAGGGGGTGGGCACGCGGCTGTACACGGGCTGCTCTCGCATTTGGGGGGTGGGATGCACAGAAGATGGTCTACCCAAGAGGCGCCTCTCCCTGCCCTGCTCCAGAGCCTCCCCTGGGTGGGAACGGGAGCCGTCTCAGACCCACAGCCAGGGGACCCTGACCGTGGAGGGGGGTCACCTCATGGCTGGGCAGCGGGGGCCTCCACGCAGGGCTGAGCGTCCAGGAGCGCAGAAGCTGGCTTCGGCCTCCCCACGCAGGCTGTTGAAGTTTTATCGCCCCCACATGGGTGTGCCTGGCCCAGGGCAGGGCCAGCAGTCCCCAACCTGGCACCCAGCCCAGGCCCTGAGCTGCCTCCCAGGTTCCAGCCTGGCCACCCCCTGCCTGTCCAATCTGCCAGTCCTGCCCCCCTCCCCCTCCCCTTCCCTCTCCCCCCTCTCATCCCTTGCTGCCCCCTCCCCCTCTCACTCCCCCCTCCCCAACCCTCCTTCTGTCCCCTTCCATCTGCCAGTCTTGCCTAGAAGTGAGAGACATCCCGGGAAGGAAGAACAGCGGCACCCAACGCCCCACAGTTCCCCTGGGGCGGGCCCAGAACCCTGACCAGCGGAGAGGGGGGATGGCAGGCAGAGCCATGGCAGAACTGTGGGCAGGGACAGACCAGAGAATCACCAACCCACCATGGAAAGAGAATCACCAACCCACCGTGGAAACATTCCACTGAGTGTCGGCAGACTGCCCTGGGGGCAGAGATGAACTGAGCGGGAAATGCAGAATGCGCATCCCTGGCATTTCCGGCTCATACTCTTCACTCACTACTATTGACAACCCCTTTAAAACATTTATTTTCAACCCCAAATTACAAGCCTTGCAAAGAAACGTGACCAATATGAAGGAGGAGTAAACCAGATACTAGAGACTATTTCTTAGTGGATCCAGATGTTATGCTTAGCAATATTAAAGGAAACCATGTTTAAAGAATTACTGTAGGGGGGCTGGGAAGGTGGCTCAGTGGTAGAGTGCTTGCCTTGCATGCCTGAGGCCCTGGGTTCGATTCCTCAGCACCACATAAGCAAAAAAGAAAAACGCCGGAAGTGGCTTTGTGGCTCAAGTGGTAGAGCACTAGCCTTGAGCTGAAGAGCTGAGGGACAGTGCCCAGGCCCAGAGTTCAGGCCCCACGACCGGACCCCAAAAAAAAAAAGAATTACTGTAGGGGCTGGGAAGGTGGCTCACGCCTGTCATCCTAGTTACCCAACAGGCTGAGATCTGAGGATCCTGGTTCAAAGCCAGCCCAGGTACGAAGTCTATGAGAACTCTTATCTCCAATTAATCACTAGAAAACGGGAAGTGGTGCTGTGGCTCAAGCTCGCCTTGAGCTGAAGAGTTCATGGACACTGCCCAAGTCCAGAGTTCAAGCACCACGACCAACCAAAAAAAAATTACTGGAAAGAGAAAGCTGGGTGCTTGTGGCTTATTGCCAGTCCTCCAGCAACGCAGGAGGCTGAGACCTAGAGGACTGCGGTTCAAAGCCAGTCAGAACAGAAAAGTTCTAGAAACGATCTCCAATTAACCAGCAAAAAGGGAGAATGGAAGCATGGCTCAAGCGTTTCATGGAAAATGACTGAAAGCAGGCACCGTTCCCCTGACAGCCCTTCCGCATCCTGATCCGCTTGTGACTCGGCTCCTTACAGTGCCAGCCGTGAGCAGGACCAGTGGGGACAAAGCCCCGAGTTCAAACCCCCTACAGGTGAGGGGATAAAGAAAGAGGGCGCGTATGCTGAAATAGCGTTCTGTGCATGTGTGGACACAGAGCCGGGAAAGCTGAGAGGGCTGGGAGGGGGTGAGGGAAAATGAGGGGGGTGGAGGGGGGAGGGAAAATGAAGGGGGAAATGAGGGGGGAGGTGGAGGGAGGGAGGAAACATGAGGGGGGAGGTGGAGGGGGTGAGGGAAAATGAGGGGGGAGGTGGAGGGGGGGAGGTGCAGGGGCACACTGTATTTTTTGTTGTTTTTATTGTTGTTTTTGTTGGTCATGAGGCTTGAACTCTGGACCTGGGCGCTGTCCCTCAGCTCTTCAGCTCAAGGCTGGTGCTTTACCACACAAGCCTCAGTGCCACTTCTGGTTTTCTGGTGGAGTATTGGAGATAAGAGTCTCATGGACTTTCCTGCCTGGGCTGGCTCTGAACCTCGATCCTCAGATCTCAGCCTCCTGAGTAGCTAGGATTACAGGTATGAGCCACCAGCGCCTGGCTTGCACACTGAATTCTTGTAATGGAAATATCACAATGAAACTCCCTTGCTCAATTAACATATACTAATAAAACATCTTTTTTTTTTTTTTTTTGGTCATGGGCTTGAATTCGGGGCCTGGGTGCTGGGTGCACCACTTCCAGTTTTTAGGTGGTCCATGGCTTTTCTTGCCCAAGCTGACTTTGAACCCTGATCATCAGATCTCAGCCTCCTGAGTAACTGGGATTATAGGCATCAGCCACCAGCACCCAGCTTTAAAAAAAAAGAAGAAGAAAGAAACCATGGGGCTGGGAAGGTGGCTCAGTGGTAGAGCGCTTTCCTTGCATGCCTGAGGCCCTGGATTCGATTCCTCAGCACCACATAAGCAGAAAAATCTGGAAGTGGCACTGTGACTCAAGTGGTAGAGTGCTAGCCTTGAGCTGAAGAGCTGAGGGACAGCGCCCAGGCCCAGAGTTCAGGCACCATGACTGGCAAAAGAAAAAAAAACCAACAATCTCACTTAAAAAACAAAAAAGAGGCAGCCAGGTGGGGAGGTGGGGAGGTGGGGGGAGGTGGGGGGGAGGTGGGGGGAGGTGGGGAGGTGGGGGGAGGTGTGGAGGTGGGGAGGTGGGGAGGTGGGGAGGTGGGGGGAGGTGGGGAGGTGGGGAGGTGGGGGGAGGTGGGGGAGGTGGGGAGGTGGGGGGAGGTGGGGAGGTGGGGGGAGGTGGGGGGAGGTGGGGAGGTGGGGAGGTGGGGGGAGGTGGGGAGGTGGGGGGAGGTGGGGAGGTGGGGGAGGTGGGGGAGGTGGGGGGAGGTGGGGGGGAGGTGGGGAGGTGGGGGGAGGTGGGGGGAGGTGGGGAGGTGGGGAGGTGGGGGGAGGTGGGGGGGAGGTGGGGGAGGTGGGGAGGTGGGGGGAGGTGGGGAGGTGGGGGGGAGGTGGGGGGGAGGTGGGGGGAGGTGGGGAGGTGGGGAGGTGGGGAGGTGGGGGGAGGTGGGGGGGAGGTGGGGGGAGGTGGGGAGGTGGGGGAGGTGGGGGGAGGTGGTGGGGAGGTGGGGGGAGGTGGGGAGGTGGGGGGAGGTGGGGGGAGGTGGGGAGGTGTGGTGGGGGGAGGTGGGGTTGGGGGGGAGGTGGGGGGAGGTGAGGGGGAGGTGTGGAGGTGGGGGGGAGGTGTGGAGGTGTGGAGGAGGTGTGAAGACGCAGGGCCATGCTGTCCTAGGGTCCTTTGCTTCCCGTTTTTGGCAGTGGTGGGGCTTGAACTCAAGGCCTGGGTGCTGCCCCTGAGCTCTTTTTGCTCAAGGCCAGTGCTGTGCCACGTTGAGCCACAGCACCACTTCCTCTCTGAGTTCCCTTCTTGCTGAGCAGAAATCTTCTCCTTCAATCTCTGCCCCACACAGCCTGCTCCCGGCCGCCTTCCTGAGCCTCCACTCTGCCCCATACACAGGGAGAGGACCGCCTTCTCTCCAGGAACTCCCTGCACCCCGGAGCAGAGTGAGGCGCTCTGCTGGACACCTGGGGGTGTGAGCCTGTCCAGGAACTCCCTGCACCCCGGAGCAGAGTGAGGCGCTCTGCTGGACACCTGGGGGTGTGAGCCTGTCCAGGAACTCCCTGCACCCCGGAGCAGAGTGAGGCGCTCTGCTGGACACCTGGGGGTGTGGGCCTCTGTGTGGATAGCGCCGGGGGAGGGGGGGTGACTGGAGACACCAGAGCAGGCCGGGTGTCACCACGTGCTGGGGCTCCTGTTCCTGTGCACGTCTTCGGTGGGATGAGTGCGTTGTAAAACAAAAGTAGTCATGGGAAGAATGGAGAGCAGGCAGCACAGTGGACTGGGAGACTTGCTTCAAAATTGTGACGGATTTTGGTGGCACCAGATATCAGCTCTAGAGACAAACTTTATATATATAAAGCCACCTTCCCAGACCAACTTTATAATTTTTTAAGAATTAAAGGAAGATAGACTAAATAATTCGAATATACAATTTATTAAAAGAACCCAGCTGGTGGTACAGTCCCCAAGTTGAAGAGGATCACTTGTGCCAGCAGTTATAGCATACCTGGGGAAAATAGTTGAGACCCTGTCTCCTAACCAACAACAACAACAGGGCTAGGAAGGTGGTTCAGTGGTAGAGCGCTTGCCTTGCATGCCTGAAGCCCTGGGCTCAATTCCTCAGTACCACATACACAGAAAAAGCCAGAAGTGGCACTGGCTCAAGTGGTAGAGTGCTAGCCTTGAGCTGAAGAGCTGAGGGACAGCACTCAGGCACAGAGTTCAGGCCCCACAACCGGACCCAAAAATAAAAAATAAAAAAGAAAGAAATGTACTCATTACCTTGCCCATGTAATTGTAACCCCTCCGTACGGTATTCTCACAGTAAAAAACTTATTAATTAAAAAATAAAAATAAAATAAAAAAAGAAATGTGCCAATTGCTTTATTATGTAACCCTCTGTACATCAGCTTAACAATAAAATTAAATGTAAATTAAAAAATTAACAAACTAAGAGGATACTGGGTTCAATCCTCAGCAGAAAGAAACATCTAGGAATCTATAGGAAATCCAAGGCAAACTTATTTGCTTATTTATTTTTCTGTTGTTTTGTTGAGACAGAGTCTGGCTTCCAGGATGGCCTGAAGTCCCAATCCTGCCGCAGCGTCCCGAGTGCTGGAGTTACAGGAGTGTGTTGCCACACCCAGCAAGCATCGCAGTTAATGAAAGACGGACCTCTGTCTCCTTAGACCAGGAACAAGACCAGCACGGCAACCCTTGCTGTTTCATTCCCCACATTAGAGCTCTAGCGAATGTGTAAGTGCATCCAGAAGATATTTTCCCGAGCAAAACAACCAGACACAAGAGAATAAATACTGCACAATTTCATTTATATGAGGAATCTAAGAGTGTTTGGCTCAGTAGCGGGAAATACAAGGGTGGTTTCCAGAAGCTGCACAGACTGCAAATGATAGAGATACAGCAAAGCGCAAGCTGGGCGGCATTAACTGGACAGTAATGACCACAACACCCCGAATCTGCATATGTATTTGCATAACCCTAACCTTGCACACCTTGAATAATGTGCTCGTACGTAATCTTTAGTGACTATTTCATTTAGTTTGTGGTGCTGGGGATTTAGCCAGGGT